GGCTGATTTAAGCCAAACACTGGCTTCCCCCACCCCTCACAATTCACCCACATAGGTGTAGACGCCCAGCTCCCTTTTCTTTGGAGGGTTATGGGGCATTGGTCCAAATTGAAAAAGCAGAGCTTCATTTTACTTCTGGCCATGGGTCTTCTCTTTATTCACCGCCAGACGGACTCCTGAGGCTATGAAGGATGAATGGCTTCAGACCCACTGGACACAGCCGGGGATTGTGTTAACTTGGGAGTTGAAGTTAATCTTGCGAGGGATGGCATGGAGTTTGAGATCTCATTGGGGCTGATGTTCTTTTCCCATATGCTTGCTGGGCATGTTTCGAAGAGTCCGGGTGTGAGAACAGAGCGGCCGAACGAGGCGGCAGCTGGGCAGGTTGGGAGGCTGGGCACGGACGTGGGAGTAACATGGAGGGTAATGCGAACCAGGCCTCTCCGTGTCTGGGAAAGGAGTCACAAAAATGGAAATGAGGAAAGCTAATTGGATTAGAAGGAGAGGTATCAGTGTGAACTTGTGGTTTTAATGTTCAGATGACAATAAAAATGTCGTATGTAGGTGTGCGTGTGCATGTTTCGCACCTCTGTCTCTTGACAGATAGAGACAGCACCCTAGCAGCCTTGCACCCCTCCAGGACCCAGTCTGAGCTTCTAAATATCAATTCCCTACCATCGGTCCCTAGAGGAACCCATGTTCTTGGAGAAATGAAGGGTCATTTCTTGAGGCTCTGGTGGGGAGGAAAAGAAATACACCAGGAACCGTATCAAATAGAAATCTGAGTCCACCCTGGTGCAAGTAGGTACGCACCTAAATGGAGTGAATGAAAAGGAGAATTGCGTTACGGAATGCAAACGAGTAAACCTAGAAGGAAGATGGAATCGGAGAATCATCACTTGGCAACTGTTAGAATAATAAATGATTGAGGCTGGCGCCCGGGTGGGTGCCAATGCCGACAGGGAGTTTCCGCAGGAACAACAGGAACCTCAGGCCCGCGCATGTCCCTCCCTGATGTGTGTTCATTGAAAGCAGGGAAGTAGTAATTTCTGGGGAGAAGCCTGGCACATGCCACCCTTGGCGCGTGTTAACAGGAAGGCCACCGGGAGCATGCCCAGGTGCGCACTGGCGTGCCGAGGACCCCGCTGTCGAGGCAGATGACACCCCGAAGAGCTGGCCGCACTGTGAGGCTGCGACTGCGGGGGTGACCTAGCCGCCCACACGTGCCACCGACCCAGGCTGGGAGGCCAGGCCCACATCGCCCTCTGGGCCGCACGAGCCAGTGCGTCTCACCCGAGACCAGGGAGCAGCCACGGGGTTGATCCGGCAGGAGCGGATCGCCCAGAAGTGCTCAGGCCGACGACTGTCGTCGCTGAGACCATCGGACAAACCCAAACTGAGAAACACCAGTCCACACAGAAAACGTGCTCGTGTTTTCCAAGAGCGTCAAGTTGAGGAAGGCGTGAGAAAGACTAAGAGACTCTCAGGGTGGAGGAAACCGAGGGGGACCGTCGGGCGAAGGCGCCGAGGGCTCGCGGTCGGGTCCTGGAGCCGCAACCCCGCAGAGCAGAGTCTCGGGGCCCCGGGAAGTCTGCGCGGCGCACACTGGGGTGTTCGTGTCTGTTTTCTGGAGTCCGCGATGTTCTGTTGAAGGGAACACATTGAATTTTTGCAAGACACGGGCCGTCATGTTTGCAACTTGCTCACAAATGGTTACGGATAAAATAATTTTACGGATACCCACATAAATGAGTTAGAGGGAGGAACAGACGCAATTATTGTGTAATGTGGAGAGAGAGAGTGAGTATGTGGGAGCTTTTTACTCTATTTGTACCTTTTTTTTTTTTACCATAGAAAGGATTTGAAATATTTTAATAGGTTTTTATGAACTTTACACAGAAAGTATGACAAATCAGCCATAAAATCTCAATATCTTTAAAAACATCATCAGTATTTGAACTTTTTGTTTCTATGGTACTTTAAAAAGCATCTATAAAAGAATCAATCGGACCCGTTCTACACGTTGGGGGAGGAGTGACAGGAAACATAAGGAGTAGTTGTCAGAGGCCCATATTTCAGGAAAAACAATCAACTGACTTCTTGGATAAATTCATCTAAAAAAAAAATCTTTTTTGTTTCTGTTCAAGCAGCCACATATACTTAGGGCTTATGCTGTAAGTCATCTAAAATTATTCTTGGAAGTAGGTTATAAATTATAAACGAATAAAGTAGATCAGGATTCCAACCAGTTTGTGGCTGACAATAAGTATTAGGGGAAGTAAATACCCGTCCTGACGCATAAGGGCGAAAGTATCCTTTCTGAGTTTTCTTTGTCCGGTGTTGCTCTATCTGGGTCACAGGAAAACGATGTGATCAAAAATATAGTGCCTGGGGCAACGCCTAAGAAAAGAAAATCTCCCAGCTGCATGGTGTGGGGGAAGACTGTCTCTGGCCCATCCACGAGGGCCTGGTGGCCGCCCGCCGCGGGCCGGGTGCTCCCCGCACGGCACCCCCGGCTCCCCGACCCATGCATCTGTGCGCCCTGTGCGTCACCTGAGGCCTCAAGATCCAGCAGAGCGAGTGGTGGCGTCTCGTGGCAGGTACAAGCAGGACGGGGTCTGTGAGTTGCTCCATCAGCAACGACGTTTAGAAGGATCGGGACTCACAAAGCATCGCGCACATGATCCCGTGTCACCACGTGCCAGGCCTCAGCGTCACCGCCACTCCATGGAGCTGTTCTCAGTGGCGCGGCTCATCTGCGCCCAGTCGGGAGCCCATGCGGGTCCTCTGACCCCACGGAACCCGGGCGACTGACGACGAACACACGCAAAAGTCAAACAATGCACAGCGGACGCCTGAATTGTGGGGACCGGAGGCTGGAAATAGTTAAAACGTGTGAGCGAGGTCTCCTGGCCCGAAGGGAGAGCTGAACCGAGTGAGGAGCACCGTGGGGAAGTGTTCGCTGGGCGCCGTCCGTGGGGACCTCGGCCGGGCTGTTCTCCAGGCTTTGGGGGAAGATGCACAGGCGGGAAGCTGGGGGGCAAGGCTGCTGATGGGTCTAGTTGGGGATCCCCGGGGGGCTCAGCAGTTTAGCGCCCGCCTTTGGCCCAGGGCATGACCCTGGGGTCCCGGAATCAAGTCCCGCGTCGGGCTCCCTGCATGGAGCCTGCTTCTCCCTCTGCCTGGGTCTCTGCCTCTCTCTCTCTCTCTCTCTCTCTCTCTCTGTCTCTCATGGATAAATAAACAAAATCTTTTTTAAAAATTAAAAAAAAAATAAAAGGGTTTCAGGTAATTCAACACAGAAGCTCAGCGGGAAATGTCGCTGAGCGCCCGAGGCCCAGGGAAAGCAGGCTGGCAGGGATGCGGGTGCGGACCCACCCGGGCGCTGACGCGGCCGCGCTACTGAGACCTGCCGTCCCGCCGTCTTCTTGGGAACACGGTCTGAGGCCACAGAAGGGGCTGGCGCTGGCAGCGCACCTGCTGAAAGGCTCGCCAGGGCTGCACCTCGCGTCTGGGATGGTGGGATCCTGTAGTCTACACCCGCGGCTAGGGTAGCTCTGTGTGCTAACTACGCTGGAGTGAAAGTCTCAAAACGTAGGACAGTGAGCAGACAACGGGTTTTGGGTCAGAAGAGTAATACCGGCGTGAGAAAGGCAGCCCGCGGCACACGCGTGACCGGAGCGGTGAAGCCTTGACGTGCGCGGGTCTCGGTCAGCCAGCGGGGGGACAGTGGCCTTGGCCGCAATTCCTCCTCTTCCTCCTGCCCCCGGGTCCCTTGCTGCGGCCTGGGCGTGCCCGCGGGGGTGGGGTTCCCTGGGAAGATGACTGCCCCTTTGGGACACAGGCTGGCCTGCCCTCCTGGGAGCGTGGCCCATGACCCATCGTCGGTCCCCCGGGAGCCTGAGCGCTCGGGCGTTCGGGCCAAGCAGTGGGCCGGGCCTGGGGTCCAGAAGCTGCTTCTGTGTCGGCCCGAGGCCAAACCACAGGTGGCTTGAACCTTCCAACACTCCCGAGGCCCGTTGTCGTCCCCTGAGCACCTGCAGTTCTTGGGCGGGTCCCGTGTGGGAGCCAGCCCCCGTTGACGGCAGGGAGGTGGATGGAGGTGGGCCCCGAAGCTCTCGGGAGCTGCAGCTTCCGGAACAGTCTACAGGGCCCTGTGCACACACACAGTCAGCAAGCCGGGTGTGCACCGCTCCCCCGCCAGCCCAGCCCGGGGCGGGGTTGGGGACTCACTGGCCAACGCTGCCGGGCCAGGCTCGGTGGGTGGGGAGCTCTGAAAACCCCGAGTCCCCGGGACACAGGTCCTTCAGCCCGTCTACAAAGGACATTTATGAGCAGAATCCGTGGCCGAAGATGGTCTAGGGCGCAGGATGCGGGTGGCGGGGAGGCAGGCCAAGCCCTTGCCCGCTGGGAGTCCAAGGGGACAGGCGCCAGGCTGCAGGGTGCCCGGCTGTCACAGGAAGCAGCATCTGCGTCCTGACACGCCGGTCGCCCTCGGCGCAGCTGGCTCTAGCAAAGCGCTCGCGGGGCCACAGCCAGCTCCTGGGGCTCAGGGCGTGAGCCCGGCCTGGATGGCCTGGATCGAGCCCCGCCGGGGTCCCCTGCACAACTGGAGTCACTCCTCCCTCCCCCTCTCCCTCTCCCCCGGCTTGTGCACGCACTTTCTCTCTCTCAAATACAAAAATAAAAGCTTTTAAAAATAAAAACAAAAACAACCGACAATGCAACATGGAAAAGCCGGTGCAAGATCCACGTAAGACCTTGTGTGTCCCCACGCTGTGTGATCGTAGCCGTCCTGTCAGCTGGAGGGGAGCAGAGACAGCGTGTGACGTCGCCGGATGGGACAGGAGCAGGCCCGGGTGCACAGGGGCGAGGCCAGGGCTCCGAGGACACGGGGGCGCCCAGAGGGGTCCTGCAGGCCGGGGCACATGCCCGCCGGCCTGCTCTCGGGGGGAGCGCGTGCACCTGTGGTGTGACCTGTGCCTCTGTGTGTCTTGCAGGAACCACGGTCCCCGCGCTCCTGAACAGCACCTCCAACCAGCTCTACCTGCACTTCCAGTCTGACATCAGTGTGGCCGCTGCTGGCTTCCACCTGGAATACAAGAGTAAGGTCCCCTCTCCCTGCCCGGCCTCCCTGTCCCCCGCGGAGCTTCCTGAATGTGAACCTGAATCCCCCCCTTTTACCGAGTGAAGCGTTAGGGCTGGAAACTACTTTAAAAGTTGCATGAAAAAAAAAAGTTGCATGAACGTGGGTCACATGAAATCTCTATGAAATATGAAATCGTAAAAAACAAACTCTGAGGAGACGCACACGCTAGTGTCTGGAGTACCTGGACAGATGCACGCGTATCTGGCATAATTGTCACAAAGCACAAAGCGTGACCGTCTGTTCTGTTCCTGGTTTCCCTGTGACAGCACATGTTCATATTCCCATCCCGAAACCTAGAAAATCCTAATTTCCAGACAAATGATGGTCCTCGGGCCCCTCCGCTCCTCTACGCTGAGGCTGTCGGCACAGACCTAGCATGGAGCCCCACGCGCCGGCTGCTTCGTGTATTATTCATTCTAATTGGAAGGAGGTATCGCGAAGGAGACGCTAACCTTTTAAAAATGAATGCGTGAGTGAGCTAATAGTCTGATAAATGGGTTGGCAAAGGTCAAAGGCGCAAATCTTCTTTGGCGTTTGATTATGCAGGTAAACCTGGCAAAAATGAAGTAAGAATTTCCAATGAGCGTCAGGTTTATTTTAGGACATGTTTTCAAGCACTAAAAATGCTTAATGTTGATATTCATCTTCTTTAATAAGCAGCTGCAAATAAGCAAATACATGGATAAGCTTTAATAAGTGATCTTTTGAATTGAGATAAACAGTTTGCAGGGATGTAAATGCATGCATGTTTTTGAAAGGCCCGATTTCCAGCTGATGATAAATATTCCAAACCAGACACAAACCACAGGGCTGTTTCTCCTTTCAGTTAAATCTCCCTACTTATTACAGGCATTTGTATGCAAGTTTATTCCAATTTATTTGAATAGGACTACTTTGGTGACAGTGTGAAATGATACTGTGGATGTTATTTATGTAGGAAATGTCTGGAAAAAAAATCTGCTACTTTGATACATTTTGTGAACATCTGTAGATAGGGAACCATCGACCATATTTATGACAGTGTTAATAAATTCACTAATATTTTTAGCCGTGTTACAAATGATGAATGCTCCTACCTCTTTCCCTCAAACTCATCTTGTGGGTTCCGGGCTTTTCGCTCATTTCTTATAAAAAGAGGCGCGAGTAAAATAATTAGGCTGCAGTTACTATTATGTACACGTAGAGCTTCAACAATATAATTATCTACTTTCCACTTTGTTCCCAACCAATACACTTCATTAGGAGAGAAAGACTAAGGTATTTCTCATTGAAATGAATCTTGTTTAAAAATCCAAGGCCTCGCTTAATTACTCGGTATATTTACTTTTTAGTTGGCCACGCATAATGCTACGTTTTCATTTGTTAACCTTTGTTTTGAGGGATTGTTTTCCGATGCTATTACCGTATCTCCCGTGTCCTACATGTCCTCCCAACCTCCTGCTCGTTTCCCTGTTTTAATGCTTTGGGCCAGAGTTTAAAATACGGGTCACATCATGTGTTTGTAGAATTAATCTCATTAAGGCCAACATCAAACAGTCTAAGGACTGCTGAATTGAGCTCCCAAAAGATTGCCTAATATTTTTAACCTGTTGACATATTTTCCATCGACCTCAAAATAGGTAATGTCAATCTGCAGTCCTCGCAATTCGGATTTGTCACTAAAATTGATATCCATGAAATAATAATTAAAAACAACGAAAGCAAAAAATAAAAATTAAAAAAAAAAAAAACAACGAAAGCACACGCACTCTATGCCAGGTCCTGCTCTGAACGTGTGACAGCTCCTTACTCATGTGTCCGCGAAAAGCCCTAGTTTTAGGTGCGCCGGGTTTTAAGGAGGACGAACACAGGCCATAGTCACACTGCTAGTGACCCACGGAATGCAAGACGCTTCATGAAGGCCCTTTACCAAGCCCTGGTTAGCATCCCAGTGAGCTATTGGAGAGGCAGCAAGCACTGCTATGTTCTACAGATGGTGACCCCAAGGTCAGGAGCAGGTGGGGACACATGGGAGATAGAGGAGCTCGTGTGCTGGTTTGCCCGGACCCCAAAACAGAGCTGCTCTGGCTGGTCCACACCAGCTGCTGTCTGAGGACTTTCCCTTTCCTCAGTGGGAAGGAGCCCCTAGACCCTGGTAACCATCACAGTCCAGCATTCTGCATGAGCACCAATAGGAATTTCCCAAACAGAAAACAGACATTTTTTTTTTAATTTGAAGGGATGAATTATAAAATGTTAATGATTGCAAAGCGATTGTAGGAAGGTCTGATCTGACACATATGAGCTAGGTTCTCTTGCGTGACCCGGGTAGGAGCTCAAACCCTCAGCATCACTGAGAGCTTCATGAGTTCTCCAATCCAGCTGTCCTAACTTTTACATCATTTTTCTGGATAGGACCTTTGACATTGTTACGCAGTAGAAGGACACGGGTGTCACCCTTGCTCTGGGCTCTTCTCTTCAGACAAACTCCCAAAACAGAACAAAACTAGCAAAATATCGGGAAACCATAAAGATGTATGCAGACGGTGACGATACCGGTTTACCCTGGAAATTACAAAATCTGAGCTAAGGGAGCGTAGCATGGACCTGCTGCCAAGGAACAACATGGCGGCAGCGACCCTGGAAGTCAACACGAAGAGAGCAGATGTCATATATATAAATACGTATTGTTTATTGATACACATGATCTATCTGACATGGGTTTATTGACTTCAGTGGAATTTGGTGGGAGAAGAGGTAATAAGATTGAAGCCATGTGCCCTGTTATAGAACCTTTCTCTTTGTCTTATTTGTATTTTGTGGATTCTCCCCTCTTGTCCTGCCAGCTTTTGGTTTAACTGAATATTTTTATTGCTTCAATTTATCTCCACTATGGGCTGACTAGCTAAAACTCTTAAAAATGTAATGATCTGTCTTGAGTTTAAAAGATACATCTTCAGTATTTTAGCACAGCTTAGCTTCAAATGATATTATGTCATTTTGTGTAAAAGAGCCTTTCAAGCGTGTATTTCTAACATCTGCTTTCCATCTCTTACGGTATGTGTTGTCTTGCATTTTATTTTTACCTGCTATAAAGCCCACAAAACATTTTTACTACTTTTGGTTTTATATTTCTATAAATATAAATTTACTACTTTTGGTTTTATATTTCTACTACTTTACTACAATGGTGATCTTTTAGAGTAAATAGAAAATAAGAAAAACAAATATCTTATATCCACCTTTGCTTCTGGCATCTTTGGAGCTCTTTATGTCTCTGGATTCATCCCAGTTTTTGTCTGAGGATCTTTCGCCTTCCTTGCAGTGTAGTTCTGATGACAATAAATTCTCCCAGCTTTTGCTTTAAAAATAAATGTCATTGTTTCACCATCATTTTTTGAAAGATATCTTGCTGGGTACAGAAGTCTGGGTTGAAAGTTTCTTCCTTTTGAGTATGGCAGGTGTCACTCCCTCGTCTTCTCACTTCCTAGTTGACGATGAGAGGTAACCCGCTATTCCTTATGTCTGTAGACACGGTCTCTTTTCTCTGTGACACGTTATCTCCACATTTTATTTCCAGCAGGTTAATTATGATGTGTCTTGGGGCGAGTGCATGTAGATGCCCAGTCATCCTGACATTCTTGGCATCCTCCGATCTCTGCTCCGACATCGTCTGTTAGTGACAAACAGATCTCGGCTGTGGACATCCCAAATATTGACTCCTCTGCATCCCCTTTGGCTTCTTCAGGGACTCCACTCACATGTAGGTTAGACTGTTGGACATTGCTTCTCACTTCTTGGTGCTCACTTCTTTTTATTCACTCTTTTCCCCTTGTGTTCTGGTTGGTGTGATTGCTGCTATCCCTTCTTCAGATCCACTGAGTGCTTTCCCAGCCATGTCGCCTCCCCTAACGAGCCCATTAGGAGAACTCTTCATCTCTGATATTGTGGGTCATCCTCCTACTGAATAGAATTTTCGTTTGACTTTTTCTATAACCATCTCTCTACAATCATTACTCCGTCTCTGTGCACATGCCAACTTTCTCTCTAGATTCCTTAATGTATTTTTTATAGTTATTTCAATATCCCTGTCTAAAATCCCCATCCTGTGAGTATGTTCTGCATCTGGCTTTGTCACTTCATCTCTAGACAAAGGATTGCTTTTTCTTTTTTTGTGTGTCTCAAAACATCTTTAAACCTGGACACCAAAAAAATAATAATGATAATAATAATAAATAAATAAAAATAAATAAATAAATAAACCTGGACACCTTGAGTCGAGTGGTAGAGAATGCTTTTCATGATACTAATGCCTAGAAATGGGCACACCACTGCTGTTAAGGATCTGAGGCCCCTCGGCCCCCAGGTGAGCTGGCTGCAGTCCCATTGCTGTGGCTGCTTGCAGTGCACTTTGGATTTCCCTGGTGGCGAGCCAGCAGCACCATGTGCTGAGTTCCAGGGCTGCTTCTCAGTGGTGGTGCTCCACCTTGGCTGCCAGTCATCCTTAGTCATGTTTTCAGAAGAGGTCGTCTCCCCTCTCTCCAAACTCTCCCCCTCCCAGTAGACTGCCATTACCTGTCACTCTGTGCTGGGCTCATACTGGCTTCGGCAGTGCTGCTCTTCCCTTCCAGCCAAGGCCAGACCCCAAGAGTCAGCACTTGGGGGCGACACGTTCTCAGCATCCCCACTCTCCCTCCCTGTCCCCAGTGCTAGGAGACCGTAACCTTGGAATCTGTAGAGGGCATTAAGCTCACGTTGGTTTTCCTTCTGCAACCTGGATACCGATTCTCTTTTTCCATCTACCTTCTCCAAGCTACAGTACCTCTTTTCCTGTGTCCTGGAGGTTACAGATTTTTCTGCCTCTGCCCTAGGAGTTTAACACTATTGTTACTTCCAAGTGAGGGGTTCAGGGAAGTATGTGATAGTCCATGCCCTTCTCCATGGGAATACCGTCCGGGGGCTCCCTCCAGGCTCCTG